GAGCTTTCAGATACAAACTTACTTTAGCCGCATTGTGCAGCATTTGGGAGCGGGTGAGCCGTGTTCTCTCACTGTGCGAGATCTGAAATATGCGATGCGGATCGCTTTGCAGCTGGCGGAATATGATTTGACCTATGGTCAGATCGTCATTGTAGTAGCTCTGCTCCCGCGCGCCCGACCATATCTTGAGCTCGGCATTGTAACTGGTGGTTGGGTTAGCGTTGAGGTCCAACATTCTGATGCAACTGATGCAGCTGTCTCACGGGTTGGCCCTATTTAAAGGTCAAAAGTTGCCTGCTTTATTTGATAACTGTAAAGAGCTATGCATGCAATAGATTCGCATGACACGCGATCACTTTTATGATTATCGGCAAGATCGTGCTGAAAATTGGACGTCAATTTAGCGCTTAAAGTGTTTATTGCATATGTGAACTATTTGAGGTCATATGGCACGAAGTATGCCGGTATTCGACGAAACAGTTTGTTGCATTCATATGATTATTAACTTCAATTAAAATATGATTTTTTTATCTACCTATTCCTGACCAATTGATTAATGCAAATTTTTGAATAGATGACTCTCAATTGCTGATTGCTATAATGAAAATACTGCTTTTTACAAGCAGTGGCCATTTTCTGTTATCAAACTGCATGCGGCATGCTTGTTCGTCTAACACTGCTTTGATTTTTCTAAGGAAAGCAGTACTTGTTATGCTACGCTGCTGCTGCTGTTCCTTTTCTTCATTAGCTGGAAGCAGTTTATATTTAAAAGAAAATGAACAGAAACTATAATCTAAATAAAACTTAAAAGAAAACTATTAATTTCTCAGAAATAAAAATTATATTAAAAGTTAAACACATATTTTTTATTTTGCATAAGAAAATGGTGATCTGTAGTTTGTCACAAGCTGCTTCAATATTCAATTTCATTCAACATTCCTGCAGCTTCACTTGGCTTAAACAAATCCCAAGGGGCCTCTAAAAAAAAATAAATAAATAAAAATATTAAAAATAAATTTTAAAATTGAGAATTAGGAATGGCGTACATAACACTATTAAAGCAGTCGACACCAAGCATGAAATGCTGTTAAATTCGCAAAATGAAAACAATTTTTAATACATTTTAAATTTGGGTTTTTATTTAAACATGCCATGTTGTGTATTTTTTTTTAATTTCTTTTTTTTTTTCTTTTTTTTTTTTATCATTTATAAACATTTCACAAACATTTTCATTATTTTGGGGGTTTTACACATTTGTTTTTGGATTTGTTTTGTTTTGTTTTTGTTTTCAATTCGGGTTGATGGCAATACAACAATTATTTCAACTATTTTGTATAATTATTTCACTAATATTTTACTTATGCATTTAAATTTCATAATCTTCTTTTATTTGCCTTGTTTATGTTTTATTTTCGGTTTTTGGTGTTGTTCTTTGATTTCGGTATATTCTCTTGTTCTGTTTCAATTAACTTTCGCGGGTTGCACTACAGCAAATGTTTTTCCCCTTTTTATTTAATTTTACTTTGAACGCATGATCTTAACTATTTAGAATTTTCTTGCTGATGTATTTCTGTTAGCTAGTTGTTAATTATGTGTGTGTGTGTGTGTGTGTGTGTTTGTATGTATATCTGTATGTGTGGGCGTATGTGTGTACACTTAGCTCTATAAAGTAAGGATGTTGCAGGTTCTCAATTTGTAACTGATTCGTATTTACATTTTTCAATATATGTGTTTGTTCCTCTTAGAAATGATAATTGCAGTTTTTCTTTGTTTACTTTCTTTTTTTTTCGTTTTTTCTTTTTTTTGATTGTTAGAATTGGGCTTGGCTAAAGGGCCGCCGCTTTTTTAATGCTTGAAGATATGTGTTATGATTTTAAATTTTTCTTATAATTTTCATTTATTTTCGATTTGTGCGAGTTAAATTTCTTTAGAGTAAAGAGTGAAATAGTGTTGGAAAGTGATGTGAAGAGAATCAATCGTTTGTCTGTCTGTGTTGGTGTAGATTGCAAATGGGCTTTGGCCGTGTGTTAGTTAGTATTAATTAGTTAATATTAGTAATGTTCTTTTTTGTTTGTATTTTCCTTCATGACTATTCTATGTGCATGCGTTATGCAACACTGCGTTTGCTTGGAACTTAACTTAACTACACATAACTTATGCGCTACGTTTTGGTTGCTAAATGTCATTTATTTTTGATGTCACTTCGAAACTTGTAAGTCTTTTTACTTTTGGATCGCATCTAGAAGTTGTGCAATTGTTAAACCTAACCATATGACATTTACATATATATTATGTATGTATATGCACGTACATATAAATTATTTACACCGATATACTGGACTGCCGCACGGTAAAGAAATTCCCTTCGCTTCTCTCCCTCTGCTAAATGATAATTGACCAAATTGATGAACGGCAACTGAAGGCAGCACACAACCTACGCCAAGTCTCGGATTGGCCGTGACATTTTGATCTAACATAGCTCTAATATACTATAGAGACGAACTGGAACAGCTTAGCCAATTATTCCGATCGATAGATCGATGTGCTAAGAACTACGACGCTTTCATTTAGTTTTCTATCTCTTTTCAGTTATCTTTTTGCTTATCAGTGTATCATCAACATCAATCAAAACACATTTCTTTTTTTATTCTTCTTTTCTTATGTTTTTGTTTTTTTTTTTTTTTGGCCTTTAACTGTTTGCCCGAACCATCGACTACTTATTTGCTCACATTTAAAACCCTGTATGTTCAATAGCTATAGCTTCATATACAACTAGATTTTACTTTAACTGCCCACATTTTCACTGTTATTCAATTTTATTTGTATTTGTATTGTTGTGTATATTTATTAGCTAGTTTAGTTAATTTTCTTGGTGAAATTTTCATTTGTTTCTTGCTTGGCACGAATTTTACAACATTTATTTCATTTCCTCTTGAGGTTTGTTTAGTGACAAGTATAATCGTATAATATATACATACATATATATGTATAATATATATATATACATATATGTGCGTACTTATCATTGATTTTTGATTTTTTTTTTTCTTTTTCTGTTTTGTTTGTTTCATTTATTTTGGGCTTACCTTTATTATAAATAGTTTTTTATAAAGTATATAGTAACAAAAGGCGAAAATATGATAAAAGCATAGCATTACAAAATATTAGAAAGAAGTTGAATAAGAAAATGAAACAAGCTGAATAAAATATGATAGAACTACAAAATATTAGTTGATTTTTAGTCAGGAGTATTTTTCTTTTTTTTTTTTTGGTATTTTGTTTTGTTGTACATGTCGTTGCTATGTAGAATTCAGTTATTATCTTAGGATCGTAATTATCTGGTGTTTGTGCATAGTTTTTATTAAGTAATTTTAGGGGGAACTCGAGCTGCGTATATTATTAATTGGTTCCAACTGGGAAGGCGGCCAGCTATTTGTTAACTGCAGGACTCACTCCTCATACAAAAGGCACTTAATAAAAACGAAAAAACGAAAAGAAAAACAAAATAGTTTTGTTTTCGGAATCAAGTGCCAGGCCTTCAATCAAAATGTGATCCAAGGTGTCTATTTAGTAAATTGGTTTTGTAAATGTTTCTCGATTTTTTATTAGTTTTTAGTTTTTGGTTTGGTAATAAAAAATTCGTTTTTGCGCTACGTAATAAGCTATTTGTATTGTCTGTTAACTGGTTTTATGGTTTAATTTAACTTTAATTAATTAATTATTAATCTACTTAAAAAATAAATAACTAACTAATGGAAACACAAGCTTAAAATCGTACATAATTTCAATATTAGTTTCGCTTGTTTCCAAATAAATAATCGAATTGAAATTTTACTCTAGTTTATGCTAAGTAAAAATATATGTATGTATAAAGAAAAGAACAAAATTATCTCTAGGAATGTATCTATAGTAATTTGTAGCTACGTAAACAATTGAATTGAATCGAAGGTAGTAAACAAGCAAAAGGAAAAACTCGATAAGTATATAGTTGTATATAATTGGAATCGTTCTATTAGTTGATGCATTTCAATAGGAATAAAAACTTGCGGTACCCACCAGTTCCATTTGAACAATGCAATGAATGCACTTTACACCAATTTAAAATTGTGATAAATCAGAGAGAACTTAAACTTCGGAGCGTGCCGAAGTCTGAATACCCTGGCAGTTGTATAATTCATATGTGAGCGTATGGGTAATTATTGTTATTTGATTTTTGTTTGGTCTAACTATAGAACTATGGCAGCTATATGTTATGTTCCGATATATGTCGCTCTAGCAGCGTTGCGAAGCAGCCCTTATCAAATTTCAGTCGCATTGACCCAAAGGAAACTGAGTTTACATAGGACACAAATGATGTGGCATGGCAAAAATATTTGTAATACGTGCTGCCAGGTTATCATTGAATAGAAAACTCACTTAGCTTTGTGTGTGTTGTGCGTGTGTGTGTGTTCGTGTGTGTTTGTGTATGTGAATAAACAAAACATTGTATCATGTTTTGTATCGAGTTTTATTTGTGATTCTTTCTTTCTTTCTTTTTGTTTTTTTTTTTTTTTTAATTCGATTGTGAACATAATAATTGAATTTGCCTAGAATTTGTTTTAGTTGTTGTTGTTGTTGTTGTTGTTGCAGTTGCAGTTGTTGCTTATTTATATCTAAACTTAAATTTATCTACACGCAATTGTTGTTCGTTTTTTCCGCAGTAAATTTGCATTTTAGAATTCGAATTGTATAAACTAGTTGGCTTAAAACTTATTGACAATATGACAATATTTACAAACGTCGTGCGACTTCACTTATTTTTTTTTTTTTTTTTTTAATTCTCCTTCTGCTTCTTCTTCATCTTCTTTGAAGTTTCTTTTACAACTAACTTAGCGCATTTTAAGTACAAATTAATTATAATTTGTTTGGAACTAAACTAATTGAATTATGAACAAAACGTATATGGATTTAGGCCTATAAATAATTTATTTAAAATTCTGTATTCTTTAATTTCTCTTTTAAGTTTAACAATTTCGAGCATTAAAAACAAATTGAAACAAATCGAGCTGAAAGCGTTTTGCAAATCGCCCACAAATCGCTTTGTCCGTTTCTGTTTTTGTTTTTCTCTTTAAAATACAGCTTTGATTTCTCTTCAATTTCTTTAATTTCTTTTATCTACTATGCAGTCGTACTTGATCAATTTAACTTATAGTTAGTAAATATCTTTGTCGCTCATCAAATTTTCTTATAGTGGAAATGCCTTGAAGCCTTGTCTCGCCCCATTCGATCAAGCAAAGCATATACATATCTATATATATAAACATACGAATATATACGCATACGTATGCATATATATATGTGTGCCGTATTGTAAATTTCATGTTGGATTCTACATAGCCTTTGGTTTTCAGAGACGCGGACGCGCTTTAGAAGGTCCTTTTTTGTTTTCGTTTTCATTTTCGTTTTCGTATCGTTTCAGTTTCAGTATGGAAAATCGAATCAAAATCATATAAACATATTTGGTTATTTGCAAAAAACCAAGCCGAACGAAAGCCATACGCAAATGAATTTGGAACGTAAATTGGTAAATGAAAGTAGAAATTAAAAAAAGAGAGATATAATAGGTTAGTACAATTTCTGGTATTGTGGTGCCAGTGTTTCTCTCTAAATATATATTAAGTATATATATATGTATAAGTTAAACGGCATTTACTCATCCTCCTCCTCCCTGAAGAGATATGTGCTCCAGTAGACCAGATTGAAGAGCGCAAAGACCAGCGGGAATGTGATTCGTGAGATAACATCGATTCTCTTCGATCTAGAACATTGTCTTGGATAAATATTCAACAAGTACAAAACACATTAATTGATCATCTAGAGATTGGCTTTTTGATTTGTGATTGTTCTTTCTTTTGGCTTGGCTTTAGTTGGTTTTATTTAAATAGTTTTTTTGTTTTTGTGTGGCCTTTTAAGAAGTTTTCTGTTTTATTTTGATGGCATAATAATTTGTTTGTTTTAAATATTTCAAGTAGGAAACTCAAAATATCAGTTTCAGCTACGTGCGTGAAAATCAAAAGAGTGCTCATTAAGGAAATAAGATCTACTAAACATAAACAAAAGCGTTCGGTCAACTAGCAGGACATATGGATTCATGGGATGTGGCTTGGTACTAAGGGTTCCAAATTTTCGTTCTACAAAGCAAAAAATTGTTTTATTTTTAAAACAAACAAATCGATAGAAAGCAAAGCACACAACAAAACTTTTTAAGTTAAAACTGCAGCAATTTACACTGTTCAACAAAGTTTGCGTTTTAATTTATAGAAATTAGATTGAGTGAAAGACAAGAAGCAAGAGTGCTCTAATAGAGTGTATTCGACTAGAAGATACCCAGCTTGAGCAAAAAAGTTTGTTAAATACTCTTTGTTCTACAGTAAGAAAAATTTATTTATATTTATTATTAGCATAACAATTGAAACTTTGAGAGAGTGTATAATTTTTCGCATTAAGTTAAAGTTGATTCGTAGTTGCTTCAGTTACAAATAAAAAGATAATTACAGTAAAGTTCGCATCACTTAAAACTTTGTTGCACAGTGTAATTGACGCAGAGCGTTAAGCAAATTATATTGTCACATTTTACTTGACTCTGGACTCTTCGAGGGCCAGATGGCAAATCATTTGGCAGCAAGCATTCAAACAAAAGACAGCGAGCAAAACAAATGATGATGGCAAGCAGCAAAGCAGAACTCGAATCGGGTTTGTCTTTAATGTAAAGTACAAGATTCAGTTTCGGGACCCAATTCAATTACTGTTAATTAGTGGCATAAAAAGTCAATATATGTATATATATGTAGATTTATAACAAATTTATAGCATATAGAACGAGAGAGAGAGAAAGAGAGACAGAGTGAGCAAGTTGTAGATACATATTCACAACATCAAAAAGGAAATCCATCAACTACTACGAAATGTTTAACGAAATTCAACTAAGTAATACGGTTGCGTATGAAACAGTTGAGTTGAGTTACCTTGTGGGAAACTTGGATAGCCAAGTCTTACAGCAGCTGGGGCGCTTCGGTGGCTGCATGTGGACCTCGCATTGGCGCAGCTTCTCTAGGGCCAGCGGATCGCCCGGATGACGCACCAGGGGCTTCTGCAGGCCAGCCCCGCGCGAATATTGCGATGCCGTTTGAGATGGAATTTTGATTGTAGTTGATGCAATGAGGGGTACGTTGGGGGTGTGGGGTAATTGGATGGCGTTGCGATTACGAAATGCAGTCGCAAATGGCAAATGGCGAATGGTGAGTGGTGAGTGGTGAGTGGCGAGTGGAGAATGGGCGTGGCATGTGCGTAATTTCATTTAATTTCGTTGCAATTTTTCATCAAATTCCAGTTCAGTTGGTTGAGTCGATTGAATGCCACGCAGCGATGTTTGATGATGTTTGTGTGTGTGTGTGTTTGTGTATGTGTGTGTTTGTGTATGTGTGTATATTTTTTTTTTTTCATTTTTGAGGTCAAGTTGAGTGTTGGAGATTGAGTTTGTGTTTGTTGCGTATGAGCACGTTTGAAAAAAGTTGTTAAATTTTGCGTATTTTTTGTATTTGTGTGTATTTGTGTGCGTGTTTGTGTGGTTTTTAATAAAAAGAGGCAAATATAAAAGGAAATAGTTGTTTTAATAGTTTTATCATAAACATTTTGCAAATTGCCAATTTGAGTTCTGGTCTTGCTTTTCATTTGATTGTTAAGAAAGCTCGTAAAGTGAATTTGGTTTTTAGTTAAATGGTTTGATGTGGATAAAACTTGGCAATGGGTTCTAAAAACTTAACAAATCCCACGAGATTATTACCTAACATTTGCAATTATTCAACTATTTTTTACTTACACACGAGGAAGAGCTAAACTATGTGGCCTTTCGAGATTTTGTCTATATATATATATGCACACATAGAAATACATTTTCTAGCATCATATTGTCTAATGTTTCTATATATATCTGAGTACAAAAAGCTTCACTGTAACTGTATAGTATTAAGGCCTATTTCGATATCATATATCATCTAGTTCTTTCTTCTCTTTTGTAGAATAGCAAAGACTATAAATTCTAGAGCAGCTCCTACATCCAAAATCTAAATAAATATATCACATTTATCCTGTCTTCTTATTTGAGCATCCCTTGGCTCCTCAGTTATCAAATGTATAAATAAAATCGTTAGTAAATTGAAAGGTAAGTACCATTGCGAATGTTGCATTGCTATCTGTATCGAGCAGATCTGAAGCAGCATCTAAACTGGCCTGCTCCAAATCGCGGCGTTTCTTTTTCATATTCTCCTTATGCATGTCTGCGGCCCGATCCGTATATTGTTGCATGTGATAGGAAGATGTTGGACAAGAATTTATTTGTTCCACAAATGTTGGATATTTCGAATAGTTCGATAGACAGATTTTGTTGTTGATTTTGATATTTTTTTTTTTTTTTTTTTTATAATTTACAATTGAGTTTAATAGTTTTTGTATTTTTGTTTGTTTGTAAATTGTTCAGATTTTAGTTAGGATGCATAGCACACATTTATACAGTTAGATAGTTAGATAGCGACAGAGACAGCGAGTGAGAGAAAGAAAGAGAGACAGACAGAGATAGATAGATCACACATACAGAAACATTAAACAATTTGAAAGGGTTGGCAAAATTAAAATCAATAATAATTCAATAAAATTTTTGAAATGTTTATCATCAAGTGCAAGTTGTTTTGTCAATTGGAAAATATGTGTGTATGTTTAGTTGTTTCATTTTAAATATGTACAATTAAATGCGCAACAGAAAATATATAAGAATTTTTTAAAATTGCGTTTGGTGTCGAAAAAGCAAAAAATAAAATAAAAATCGTTTACAAATTTGTTTCCAATTTTTTATCAAACGCGTTTAGGGTTTGAGTGTGTGTGAGTATATGTATGTGTGTGTGTGTGTGTGTGAGTTGGATGAATACATGTGTGTGTATGAGTGTGAAATGAAATAAGAGAGTAAATCAAAACAATTGGATTAGTAGAAGTATATATGCAAAAATCATTTTGTTGTTACAATATATATGTGAATGAAATAACCAAAAAGAATCGAGAATGAAAAACAATACATGTATTGATACATATATATATTGAATGAAAAATAAATGCTAGACTACAAATTGTTGGATTATAGCTGTTAAAAATATTTAGTTGCTGCTGGTTGTTGTAGTTGTAGTTGTCGATGTTGTTGTTGTTGTTGTTGTAGATCAAAAATCAGTTTATTTGTATTCCGACAAAAATTGTGTGTGAAACGCCGGCGAGTGTAGATATGAAGCTCAACTGTGTGTGTGAGAGTGTTCGATTGTGTTCGTGTATGTGTGTGTGTGTGTGTGACAGTCCGTTACGAGTTTGTTTATTAGATATGCGAGTAAATTGTAGTTACATATAGGTATATATACACAATATACGTTACACGGAGCATATAAATAAACATATATATATATATAATTTAATACATATATATATATATATATTTATGTATGTATATGAGTGGTACTCGACAAAAATAATGTTTTAAAAAAACAAACAAGAGTAAAAATAGAATAAACACCATCGATTAATACATTAAGTAAGTTTGTTAAGAAGCATATCAAATCTCAATTACTAGCTTTATTCAAACCTGAGCGGGAGGCATAGTTCACCAGGGCGAATTCGAGCAACGCCCCAAAGACAAACGTCAGACAGACGCCGGTCCAAACATCGATTGCCTTTGTATAGGAAACGGGCGGCAGTGAGGCATTAATGCCCGATGTTTGTGTGGCCATAGTTAGTAAAGTGGTTACACCTGGAACAAATGTAAGTATATATAGACAATAGAGTTCAGATAGCTGTACTAGAAGAGAACAGATATACATATGCACATATATGTATGTATGTATGGGTTACCAGCAGTCTAGAGTTGGCTTAGCTGAAACGTGATTTTCATACGCAATCTTTGGTTGGGCACTTACCTAACGATACGCGCGCGGGCACTGCGCCTTGATCCAGCCAGAATGATACCCATGATACAATGACCAGCATACAGCATGGTATATAAATTTGTATTAAGTAATATGAGAATTCTCGCTTGAATAGTAGATCGACTTTGAGGCAACTGTATTCACCTATGAGTATACAAGGTAATATACAACTGTGTCAAACTCAAAATGTACGGGAAGGATTCGAAATGGCGTTAGTTCATTTTTGATCTCACACGCACGCACACATATGTATATGTATATGTATATGTATATGTATATGTACACAGAGAGTAGATGAGTTTAGACACTGACAAAACATAAGTAGAAACACACAGACAAAACACACGTACATTTCCAATATTTTTAATATATATGTATGTATCAAAACAAATTTGTCATCCAATAAATCAGTGAAAACCAAAATCAATTTGCTTGCTTTTGAAATTTTGCCACGAAGAAATGAATCAGAAATTAGGAGAACATTTACGTTCATGAATTTTTTGTTGTTGTTCTTTGTGTTCTTTTTTTATCTGTACAGGAAAGAGGATGGCTTCCAAAAAATAAAAAGAAGACATAAAAAACATATGATGCACAGTGGGTGGTATAAATTAATGTATATACAAAACGAAGAGTGAGGGAAAAGAAACGAAATAATACAAAACGAATGACATTGAGAGACGGAATAAGAGACAGAGTTGAGTTGGAAAATTATAAAATGGCATCATAGGCAAAATTGTATTTTGAACATCAATTCAATTTTCTGACAATTGTTGTTGTATTTGTTGTTGTTGTTCATTTTCTTGCTTGCAACAAAAATTCTTAACGGAAATGAAGTTCGCAGGGGCTTGTAGAGTGGGTGCGTGTGTTGCTGTGACTGGTGTTGTTGTTGTTGCTGTCGCTCCTGTTGTTAGCTTCCGCTGCGAACACGCCCCCCATGCTGCCTGGTTGTAGCCGCCCTTCATTTCCGTTAATTTGTTGACATTGCGTTCCATACTCTTCAAGACAAAGCTGTTTAATATTTAACATTCTCATATTTTTATATTTTCATATTCATTTCATTTTCATTTGCATTTTCATTTGCATTGCACTCGCTTGAATCGATCTGCGGTCTTTTCGAGGGTTCTGGCTCTCTGTGGGGTATCATATATATATATATTTTCACACATATATATATATTTATTCGCAGTTGCTTGTGGCATTTATTATTGGAATATTCAGATTTTACTCATTTTGTTTTTGTTTTTGCACTATATCTATGGCCAGTTTTCTCTCCATTTTAAACGCTCATAGAAGATATAAAATTAATAAACTTTATGTGAGCAACTAAGTTCAAGCCGAACTAAATGCAAACAACTACGCAACGTCTAAGAACGGGTTGGGTTATGTTTTGAACCAAAAATATTTATATATATAAAACATACATATATGCAAACACATATATCTTCTTTTGAGGCTAGTGTAAACGGGCAGATGAGTTGCAGGCTCATGCATCGCTTCTAATGCGGGCAAATGATTGAGATGAGTGTTTTGAATTGATATTATCCGAAGCCCTCAAAATGAGCTAAGAAATGCTGCTAACCATGAAACGAGTTTAAATGGGCATTGGATGAGAGACTAAATAAAAGTTTGTATTAACTGTGAGCTGTATACAGATTCAATTTAGTATATCTCCATGTTTGGCGACCAATCTAAATCTATAATAGTTGAAATCAACTGTCTAGGCAAGCTAGGCTCGCCTATTGTTGAACCCTTGTTTCATTTACTTATCTAAGAAATACTCATTAAAACCTATTTAGTTTCTGTACAAAATCGTTTTGAATTGCTGTGCAAAATTATTTTAATAATATATGATTAGGTTCCCAATTTCAAAGAAACTGTTGTTGCAGCCCTGGTTACAAAATTGTCACTTCTTTTCTGGTATTCTTTATGATTTTTTAGAAAAACTGGTGGCTCATTGAGAAAGCCTAAATAGCAATACAACTGAAGTTTCATAATCTATCGATACCGCTATATTGTTTTAAACCTTTCTATTCGAAGCCCCTAACTGTAATATGCAAATCAGATGGAGAATCTGCCTCCGATTACTTTCAAATGCATGCTTTCCATAATACAATGCAAGTGGATATCGTTAGTTAGTAGCATTTATCGCTGACAGGAATGCAGCATACGCATTTACAGAGAAATGGGCGTGGGCGTGGCGAGTAAATGGCGGAGGCCCACATCAGTTGCATTTTCTAGCTATAAATTATCCACCTAAAGATGCTGACAGACTATTTGCCAAGTTTGTGAAAAAGTTTTGCGTGTTTGTATGCCACAGCTCAGTCACATAGACACATTCGCCCACACACACACACACACACATAGATCATCATTATTGGTTGGGATGGGGGTCGTGGGGGGATATTTGCTCTTTGTGCAAGTTTAAGCAACTGCGTCGCAGACAATTTCCTCGATTAATTTGCTTTCCGTGGCCCGCCTTTTGCCATTTTCTTTCATTTTCTTTTTCCGTTTCGTATTTGGCTGCCATCGGAGCTGCGATACTCAGATGCGAGGTAGTTCTTGGTAGCCAAGGTAAACATTTGCTTAAAGCGCCAACTGATTTCAAATTGCTCATAAAAACTCGGCTAAGGTAGGGCGACACGCGATGCCAAAACTGCACTTAAAATGGGCGTGTGAGTGTGGCAGCTAGAGAAGAACAGTATGTGTGTGACGGTGTGTGTGTGGGTGGGTGTGAGTGTCTTGTGAGTGTGTGTGAATTACATCGTAAAAACTTGGTTTTTATGCGATTCGGGCATTGATAACGGTCCTACGAGATGCTCATGTGTAAACGGCATCATTACATGTGTTCGTGTGGCTATATATGTGAGTGTGTGTGGATGTGTGTGTATTAGTGTTTGCTATGAAGTGCTTATGATGCCGTTTATTATAGATAGAGTATACAAGCGAACAACATTATTTGAAATAAAAACTATAGATACATATTAATAAAGTAGTTATTGAATGCACAAGTTATATACATAGGTGAGTAGATGCACAAAAAGAAAACTCTTAATGAAAATATGAAAGTCAACTAAAGCTACATATTGACAAAGTTAAGATATAGATAGATAGATAGATAAGTTCAAGTAAAAGTTGAATCATATAGAGTTAGTTCTCAACACCATCAACACAACAGTCAAATGAACACACACAAACAAACATACCCGTATTGGTTTTACTGTTACAGTAATCAGTCAAAAACTTCTCCAATGTGAAGCGAGGTAGGTGTAAGTTCTTTACCACTTGCACGGGATCACCCTCCTTCCAAAGGAATACCAAATCGTTGGTAGTCCAGCCGTCTAAGAGAGAAGAGGAATACCATTTAGTTGAGACATATAGATGGTAGTTACATATGTAGAACAATCGATAGACATTCTTGCATATATGTGTACGATTCTAATATAATATGATAGTTATAGTTATGATAGTTTATTATGTATTACTTACAGCTAGCCATTCGAAGTGAGCATATCTGTCTATCCAATGGGTACAGCTTGAGATTCATTGGGCAGGCCAATGTTAGTGAGATGCGTATACTGTAGAGCACCGATCCATTGGGAAATATACGTATATACACATTGGGCATAATGATATTGTGAAAGTGTCCCTCCTTCTCATTGGAGAAGAATAAATCCGGCATCCACACACGATTCGCCTCCGTCAGTGTGAGATATTTCAAGCGACCTTTCGGGATAGTTGGAATGCATTTATAGGTCTCTACCAAAGGGAAGTTCCACCTGGCTACTCACCTTGTATATCATCGAATTTGAGACGCTCATCCGTCCACTGCTCTCGAAAGGTTAACTGTACACTGTACTCCTGTGGTGCGCGATCGAAAGGTTTTTCGTTTGTGTTGGGATAAAAGAGAGCTTTGTTAGTGCTGCGAATCGTAGGATCTTCTAAAGTTTTTAATTTTAATTTCAGTTTCAATGCAATTCAATTCGAACTACAATGCAAATTTCGAATAGCCTCAAATTTTGGAAATTTCTCAAGTTGTTTTTGTTGTTTTCTTTTTTTTATTATTTTAATTTTTGTGGTGGGTGTGGGGCGTATCAATTGGTGGGCTTGCTTTTGCGAGGGGACATTAGCTTTATTTTTAGATAGATTTTGTTTCTTTTTTGAATAAATTTATATTTTGTTTTGTGGTAGATTGTATATGAGAGCGAGCAAGGCGTGGCGAGGCGTGGCGAACGTTAATTTTCTTTTTGTTTTTTTATACCCTGAACCCATTGAAAATGGGAAATCAGGGTATAATGGTTTTGTTAAAA